AAAGCACTGCTTCTCAAAAGCACTACTTCTGTGCCTAAATCTCTGCACATGGTTGTGCATTTTTGTTTCCTGTAAAGAAGAATATATAGTCTTCTGTCACTCAGTACTGTGCTCGGAATAAGACTCAGCCCCCCCTGACCACTGGGCTCCAGTCATTCCTGGGCATCCTGGGGTTAGCACTATTTTGGGACAGAGTGTTCCTTATCAAAGTGAGAAGGTGATCCTGTGATCAAAATAGGATGGAGAGCTATTTTGAAGTCTGCCATGGGCACCCTATGCGAGGCCATCTGTACATGTAAAACATGGGGGAAGGCAGGGGTCCAAAAAGAGATGGATCCAGCATTTGGCTTCACGCTCACTTCTGATCCAAATACAGCCTGTCTTATATATGGTGGTAGGTAATGTTGTCAATGTTAACAATTTTATTTTAAGTCTTGCAATGTTTGGTAACACCCCTCCAAACACTAGCTCTTGGAGTCATGAGATTATCTAAATAAAATCCCACCTTCATCTTCTTTTTAAAAAGTAAATTTCTTGTCTTGAAGATACTAAAAAAATCCAGAACATATAAACCCGAAACACTTCTTTATGAACTCAGGTAAAACAGGGTATACTTCCTTTAAAAATTTTGATTATTTTTCAGTGAACTTCACGATTTTTAGAATTTGAGTCATCATTTCTGAACTCTGGGAATTGGCACTGCCATGTGATTTTTTAGGAAGCAGAATGTTTAAGAGATTGCAGCTCAGGATGGGCTAGAACTTGGGATTACAGCCAGGAGAAAAGACAACTTCTCTCTTGTAAATTCTGCAAAAGTAATAGCTTCCCTCAAAGTGCTGAGAGACAGGAGGCATAGGAACTCCTGGCACCTTGTTCTTCTCAAGGACACTGAACACAGTTGGTTCTTTAATGCCCTTTAGCAGAAGGACAGCCTGGACAGCCATTCACCCAGTGCCATGTGAAGAACATGAGGAGCCAGAGGCTGGTTGGGCTGGAAGAGTGGACTAATGCAAACCTACACAGTAGTTCCTAGTCCCCAAGCTTGACAGAAGGGCAATGGGAGCCTGTTTATCACATACCAAAATGGAATATTTACTGTAGCTGTCTAGCATATCCTCCTGAAAGGGTACTTCTCACCATCACATGAAAATGAGGTGTCCACGAAACCAGGTAACAAACATGACCCCATTAGACTATCTCAAGTCTAATGGTAGTAGTGACACGTGGATACAGGTTGCCCCATGCTATCAATATCACAGGAGAAAGCTGCAGAGAGAAATGCTTAACTGAAAAGCATGTTCTTACCAGAGAGCTTCTGTGCCCTTACAAAGACACTCCCATTTCGACTCAGTTTAGACTTTGATTCTGAGCCAGAACGGCCCAAGTTAAATATCGACTTCCACTTCTTGGACTTGGTAGATAATTTTCTCCTGGAAGAAAAAAGGGCTCAGGAGGTTACCAAACCCCAGAGGATTTTATCTTTTTAATATCCCACAAAAGCCTCTGAGTTCTCTCCCATCAACACTGTCCTGCTTTTCTTCTCACACCTCTTTTAATTCTAAGGCACACAAGGCATAGCTACACAACCAACACTTGCTTTTCTGTATGTGATTTATCTGTGTTGCTGATTTAACAGCGTCATGGATGGAAAGACACCTAAGCCAATTCTTCAGAGAGCTGGGTGTGGCATCATGCTACAGCAACAGTGGCTGACTCAGCGATCAATCATACCTATCTCCAGAAAGGAGAGGTTTCCAAGGGTAGAACTATCTTGCAGTACAGTAAAGAAAAATTGCTTTTTAAATGGGCTTTAATGACAGAATACAAGATAAATTCTAGGGAACTGATGGAACTGGTACTATCGCCCAGTGTACAAAGTTATCCTTTAAAGTCCTCATGTTGTATAAATTTTATGAATTTGCAAAGATAAAAGGATCTCTTAATACAAACTAGCTACTAATACTTCTCAGACCAACATGAATTTCATCATAGGTGTTACAAGATCATATGCTATCATAATGTACTGACCAGAAGGAGGAGGCTCAAGGGAATTAAATCAGTTTCTAGTAAATGTCAGAGGAAGTGGGACACGAGTTCCCTGTGTCTCTTAAGAAATTCCAGCTTTAAACAGAAAGAAGCTGCTACTCCTGAAGCACGTTTTCTTCTATTCATATTACTGGATGAAGCTCTGTTTCAGTTCCTTCACATACCCATTCTGACTCCTCTTTCAATGTCCCCTTCTTCTAGAGCAAGAACTACTTATCTCCCCATCTTGTTCGCCAAAATGTGCTTTCTACCCTCATAGTTCTGCTTTTCTTTCAGATCAGTACTCAGAAGAGCACAAATCAGTCCTACAAATAGGATTAACACCTTGGAGATAGAACTGTTCTCTTCAAGTGAGAAAGGAAAAGGCACTCTAGAGGGTCAGTACACCCTTTTGTCTTAAGCTGGCTATCCTCTTGCCAGTATTCTGTTAGATGGCTCATTTTTGCTTTAATATATCAAGTGCAAAGAAATATCTTTGCTAGGGGCTTTATGGGTCAGTGGATTAATGAGCCTCCAGCTGCAGAAGCTATAAACTTTCAGAACTGGGGAGCAAAGTGGACATATATTAACATATAGATAGACTAACAGGTAAATAATTATGCTGAACAGCAGTGCCAACAACTGCAGCAACCTCAGCTGAAATCAGACTCTTCTCCTGGTGTATGCACAGGTGGCATAGGTGCCACAACGTAAATATCTCTCCATACCAGAAGTGAAAAATTCTGCTTATAGCTTGGCTGTGAGTGCAGAGGAACCTGCAGTACAATAAGGCTCAGCAGGTCAATGTCACCAGGCGTGCCGTGAAACAGCCGCCAGCACGTGGAACTCATAGGAGAGCTGTGTCCGGACCTGCTCCACGCTCAGCCCAACTTTAGCCAAATCCTGAGCTGACCCTAGGATGCAAATAAATTAATTCTTCCTGCAGGAGGTCTATGAGGTTCTACCCTGATGAAGGGATGAGGACTAGTGGAGTTATGAACCCAGCAACTGTAATGTTTCTCAGGAGCAGCTGTGCCTCTTTCGAGAAGGGCACACAATTTTCTCTCAGTGGTGACTATAGATTCATGCGTGCAGGTGTGGGGGTATCACACTAACAAAAGTCTCATTCCCAATCATGCTGGGGAACCTGCACTATTTTGTTTGCACTTTACACTCCTCTTAGCACTTACTTGCTGTCAGGGAGATCAACAACTGTGTGGAAGAGGGACCCAGTCACAGGAACAATTTCAGGCAAGCTGTTCTCTCTTCTTTCCTTCCGAGCAGGGTGCGAGGCTGACAGACTCCGTGCCTGTGCTTCTTCCAAGCTCACCAGTTTCATCGGCAGGGAGGCTGAGGGGAGGGTCAGACTTTTCACAACTGATGGGCTCTCTGAAAAGCAAGAAAATACATTCCAGCCTGGGGTGAGGAGAGATGAGAGTAAGAGCTTCATGTCTTTATTTGACTGGAACATCTCCTGCGGAGGGGGGAAAGGAGCGGCACGTGCAGGGAGAGAGGCTTTTTGTCAGATAAGTCTTCCATCTCCCCAGCAACCTTATCCTTCTGAGTGCATTCCCAGCAGGGGACAAGCTCACCAGCCAAAAGCTGCATTGCACAGTCTTGCTGCCTCTGCTGTAGATGTTTCAGTGTGAAAGAGGCATCTCTGAAAACCACCAGGATTCACACATTCCCCTTTCTTCTCCCTCCTTCCCCCCCCACCCCGCTTCCTCCTCAGATTTTGGAGCAGTTCAGTCCCCAGTCTAATCCTAGCACCTAATTCTTTCTCTCACTTCCACATCTTTCTCCTTGTCTTGTTCCAGGAGGAGTGGTGTTCTAGAAACCAGCATTACTTTACCTTCCTAATGTATTTCAGGGCTATGGGAAGCAGTGCAACCAACAACCCTGGGAACTGAAGGTCTCTGTTTACACAGGCAGCAGCAAAGCCATCTTCCCATATGCCACCCCACCAACAGGCCCGTCCTAAACAGACCACCACAAGGTGCATGAAGGAAGCGCAGTCTCTGGAACGCACTCAATACTTAGCCCAACTGCTATAGCAGGGTGCAAGCTCCTGCCTGTGCAGAGGGTCTAAGTGAAGGGGCACTTTTCCAGTAAGAAATTAACTGGGACCATCAGCATGTTCCTCTCCTGACTCCACACAGCTGACAGAGGGCTGGAAAGCAGAAAGGTTACTCCCTCATTTCTGCAGGTATTATGAGTCTTCCCAGTGTGTAAAACAGAATGATGCATATTTCTGAAATTATGTGAGGTTACTGTGGATCCAAGCCCTCACGCTTCTCAGGCTTACAAGCATTTTGACAGCAAACCTGTCACTAAATAACAAAAATCAGCATCTCCCAAGACTGCTGATGTCCCAAAAAGAAAAAAATCTCTTTATATAAAATGTCCCCAAGAACAAGACATAAGTTTTCAGAACACAAGCTTAAGTTTTATCTTGGGATTGTGGCTTCTGACTTGGGTGGATATGGTGGCTGCAGGGCAGGTATCATTGGTATGAGGAATTATAATTAGGGGAGCCTGAGAGAAGAATTGAGACTGTGAAGGTGAGGGTAAGTCTGTGAACACAGCAAGGGTTGATGTGTTTGAAATATTAGTGGAAGGGGATACAGTTAGAGCTGGAGTACATGCCAAGTGACATGTAGAGTGTTTCAGGGAGGTTGTTACCAATGCTTTCTGCACAGCTGGCTTTTCTGTTGTTGTTGAAGATCTGATCCACATGATTCAGGATGAACTCGATCACCAGCTGCTGCACTCGCACCTCCAGGAAAGCTGCATCCCCATTGCAGCCAACTGCCTCAATCTCCTTTGACCTGCACCAAGAAAGAAGTATACTAGTAGCATTGCCACACAGCGTCCCTGGGAAGGAGAGATCAGCTTTATTCCTGCCAGACTTGGAGCAGGGATGTTTTCCCCACTCTTGTTGCACTTCTTGGTCTCCTTCCCTAAAAGGCCCTCATCAGCTCTGCCTTTTAACTCTTTAAAAAATTATTTTCTCTGTTTTCTCTGTCACCTGTGCTGCTTGCTTTCCTGCCTGTGTTATTTTCCCTACTTCACTTTTACGTTCTTCAGCAGCAGATAAAACCATGACTCACAAACTCCAGTCTTCTCCCTCCATGCTCCCCTTTTAGCTATTTCAAAGTTGGGCCTGAAAGACAGTGTAACAGCCTCCAAACACTGCTTCCAGATCCCTACTCAATGCTTCAATCATCTCTCAGTGAACCCCCTTAGGACTCTGCTCAGGTCTTCCACATGCGAATATTTTCAGTGCTTTGCCTTGTGCCCCAGTAGTCTCTTCTCTGCCCCCTTGCACTCCCACATTCTCACTCTTGCTCTCATGAGGCAAGGAAACATTCCTTATCTTGACATGCCAAAGTGTTGCTGAAGAAATTATCTCTGGGCAATGGATCCTTTGTAAAGTTAATGACTAGTGTGTTAGGTAATAGCTTGGGGCATTGCCAAGAGGATAACCCTGTGAGGAGGCTGCAGTTGCATTGCTTGCTCCTTTCTTATCCTCCCTGGGACTTGCACTTAGGAAAGATTGCAAAAGGAAACAGATTTCAGGTTTTTTGACAAGGACAGATGCTCAAGTGAAAACGTCTCAGTAGTAAAGGTCCACTTTGTGATATTTAATAGAGTCAACATTTGATTCATTTTCAGAACCTGCTCTGCCTGTTTTGTGATTTAAAAGACTTAGATAACCCTTTAAAGAACCCTTTTCAGGTCTGTACCTTTCTAGACAATGTTCCTCCCTCCTGTCCTCTGCCAGCCCAGGGCTCCCTCCACATGCTCTGCCAGTGCCCCTCTCCTGCCCAGCTGCAGTCCTGGACTCTCCCTGCATAGCTCTTTCCTCTCAATACATGGATATGGGATGGACAGGGAAGGGAATTTCAACAAGATACACAAGATTTTTATTTTTTTTCCCCCCAGATACTGTATTTTCTTGTCCTGCTTAATTCTACAACATATCAACCAAACTTCTGCCTGCATCTTACCCATGCCTCTTCCCAGCAGAGTGCCAGGCACAGCAAACACGACAAACTAGCTGGTGGTCTCGAGATCCGACACTACCTGACATCTTAAAAGCTCATCTCACTTATGCTCAAGCAGATCTGGGCACAGGCCTGCAGTATTATTGCCCTGATGCCCTCCCTTCCAAGCTTTGCTGCCTCTCATCGCCCTACTGCAGAAATGTCATTTCCGTTCCACAATGATGAGATAACTCCCCATTTTTAAATTGATGTGCTCAACTTGCAAATAACAGCTTTTTTTTTTTTTATATAAGAAACACACCAAACCACAAGCTTCCTTGGATGTTGGCAGTAAGACCTCAGATTATTCAACCTGGAAGAATTTTTTCTCCCTTTAAAAGTTGTTTGATCTGCTCCACTGTTCCCTTTAGTTGTTCTGCTTTTCCCTGTCTTTGAATCTCCCTCACATGATGGGTCTCCAGGCTCAGGTGCTGGCACTCCTCTTGGAGCTCAGCATGGTGCTCTGGATGAGAAGATTCTCTACTGTACCTGAGGAGATTGGGAGCCCACACCAAGGCCAGGTTTCTGGTGTGCATGTTGGTCATGTTGCTGAAGGAGGCCAGGTGAGTCAGGTGCTTGATCAGGTATTCCAGCGTTCTACAGTTGTTTCATATGAAGAGAGAAAAAAGTGTCAAGTGACCGATGCCTGGCCACTGGGACAGCAAGGCTCAGACCCAGCCCTGGCCTTGAAGTTGTCCCCTCCTTAAGGAAGGCAGTGTCTGCAAGGGCACAACAGGCCCCATAGGACAGAGGATTTACAGGACCAGCATTTACATGGGATGGCAGTAAACATCCGAACAACTGTGCTCTGGGGTGGCCAAGGATGGGCACGAACCAAGCAACCCTTAGTGTGATGAGTATGGGAAAGTGTTCTGGTTTCACTAGGACAGAGCTAATTTTCTTCTCAGTAGCCAGAACAGCGCTGTGTTTTGGTTTCCCTATAGGATTTGTTATGAGAAGAACATTGATAACATGGCAATGTATTCAGTTGTCACTGGAAGACAAAGGACAGTTCAACTTCTCCATGTTTTGCTAGCTACAGGTGCAAAGGACTCGGGAGGAACATAGTAATTAGCAAACCCAAATCAGCTTTTGGATATGTCAATGGGATATTCCATATCATATAATGTCATGTTCAATATATTAGTGAGGGTTGGCTGGATCAGGGGGTATCTCTTTCTATCTCTCTGGCTCTCTCACAATTTGTGGTTTTGGCTTCAGGATTGTCTCTGCTCCAGGACTGCTAACCAGGGACTGGGCTGGGTGTCGGTTGGCAGGTGGTGAGCAATTGCACTGTGCATCACTCATTTGTATATTCTGTTATTAGCATTATTATTTTAATTATTATTTTATTTCTATTATTAAATTGGTTTTATCTCAACCCACAAGTTTTCTCACTTTTACCCTCTGGATTCCTTCCCCCGTCTCACTGGGGGTGGGTGAGGGAGCAGCTGTTTGGTGTTTGGCTGCTGACCAGGATAAACCCACCACAGTAAGATGGCAGATGCATGGGAGAGGGAGTGGAATGCTGCAAAGGTTGAGGGCTTGGCTCTCACTCAAGCACCTCCAGATAATAATCTTCTCACCACACTCAGGACACTGGCCAAGGGTGCCACAGAGGTCATACTCAGGGAAGGAGGATGATAGGCTGCAGAAGGGAGAGCTTGTTGGATCTCTAACAATGGTTTGTTCAATTATATTTAAGTGCCAGATAAATTGTTGTCAGATTTGGAAATGGTGAGTCAGATTTTGGGAATTGACTTCTGGAAATTAACTCCAGCACTGTTTCAGGCAATATTCCCTGATGTGAGGGTCACCATGCTCTTCCTCAGCACCTCGGTGAACACATTCTCACCTGTAATGCGATGGTGGGAGCTCCTGGATGACATTTTGAATTCGTGCCAACTGCTCGTCCTCGGGGAAGCGCGATACTGCTTCCTGCAGAGATACAAGGAAACAATCCGTCCTGGCAATAGACTCAGGGGAAAAGGAAGAGGGATAAGGAGGGTCACACGAGACAGCCTGTTTCAGAGGGAATGCTCTCTTGTTACCTTACAGAGCTATTTGTAGAAGATGTTTTGTGTTCCCAGCGCAGCAGGGATTTGCTGTGCTGATGTTTTGTTTCAGTGCATCCTTCCCACTTGTTGGGACAGGGTGGTTTATGTTTTGGGTAGAAGGGCATTTAAGTACTGAGAGCTTCAATTGGGAGTTATCTTTCTTTTTTTCTTCTTTTTGTCTTTCTTAACTTGTGCAGTGATGGGTAGTATAGAAAGAGAGGGAAAGCGAGAAGTGAAAATAATGAAAAAACCACAACCCACCCCCCAAAACTGTGTTAAAAATAAAATAGATCTTTCGAGCCTTGTGTTATGAAAACAGCTGGGATATACATGTTCCATATTCATAAAAATAAGCAATATTTTTAGCTGCCGTATGAAGGCAGCTATAGGGAGTAGTTTGTGTGAGTTTGCATTTTTTATGATGGGTAAAACCTTAGCAAAATCACTGTTCAGGTACATTAATAAATTCTTATACTCAGGGTTAGACAGAATCAAGGTTATACATCTTGGTCTTGAGCAAGTCTCTACAAACCAAGAGCTTAGAGAGCCACGATAAGCTTTTGTCTGCATTCCTAGGAGTTTACTGCATTGGTATTCATCTGTTCAGCTATTCCCTTTCAATATTTGTGCTGGGGGAGGACAAACCACCAGTGAGTTCAAACAATGCATGACTGTCTGGGAACCTCCTGCCTACCCTACTGCCACTGGAGTTTGGAGTGAGTTCAAAGAAAGATGCTGGGACCCACGCTGCCAGCAGAAGCTTTGCCTACAGACAGACGTCAGCACTGCTAGGAAAGGAAGGAAATAACCCGTCCCAAATCACCCATCACTTAAACATTATGAACCTGAAATTACCAGCCAAAACTAGAGAAGCATCTTCTTGTGTTTGCAGTCACTGCAACATCCACACTGGTTATGCTGCCATCTCTGTTCTGGTCACTATCGTTTTCCCAGCAGACCATTTCTCATGTACAACCACCAACAAACCAAACATTGCCAGTTTCAAGGCCAGAGATGAATATGAATCATATTTTATTCCTAACACTGCAAATTGAGACCTATGTCCTCTAGTTTGAACTTACTCACTGGCGTGATGGCAAAGAAAAACAAGTGAGCTCACTAGTTTGGTGTACATGAGATATGGATGCATTTGTTTTGCCCAAATTAAAAGCAAGCTAACTCCTTCTAGTACTTTTTACCCATAACTATATCTCCATTTTTAAAAAAACCCTAATCCTATTATACTGAGGATTTCTGGGCTAATGCTAGGAACTCTGTGATCCTTCATACAAGGTTTCCAGTTGAATGGCCTTGTCCAAAGATGGAGAAGGAAAGAAATACAATCTTTAACTGATGCATCTAAAACATTATATTTCAGCTATGTTGTACACAGTGTTTTCTCCCCCAGTGCTAATTTTCATTCCCATATTTAACTTCCAGGTCTCAGAGACCTAATGCTTAGACAGCAAGTGAATACCAGCCTTTCTAAGCCATTAAAACCTCCAAGCCACATTTCTGAACCATGTGTGTTGTGCTTTTGAAATCTGAGGCCTTCTCCAAAACTCAAGATTATAGCAGCAGAATACAGAATTCAAGGAAGAAAAAATAATTTATCATAGAATCCTATAGAGTCATAGAATGATTAGGGTTGGAAGGGAACTTAAAGATCATCTAGTTCCAACCCCCTTGCCATGAACAGGGACACCTTCCACTAGATCATATTGAGTATATATCTGCTAGTCTATGAATTCATGTAATTTAATTTTTCATCTTACAAATGGGAAGAGAATACTTGGAGAATAGCAGAAAGTATGTAAAACAAAATTTAAGACCTTGGATTTCTTTTACTCTGCTGGTGATTCTGGGAGTACACAAGTCACAAGCCCTGGTTAACAAGTAAAATAGAGTCCGAATAGAGAAGGTAGGCTTGGCGTCTTACAACTGATTTGCTCTGAGGGAGTACTCTGGCCCTCTAAGCCCAGGTTAGAACAAGCCAAGCAGATTCAAGTTATCTACCCCATGAAACAGGCATACATCACCAGAATACAAAATGGCAAATTGGAGAGCATGAGAGGGCATCGTTTTGCAAAAGTGGATAGCCAGTGAGGTCATGACTGGGATGCTACATCCATGAACTTTACATAGTAATGACCAAAAGGCCAACCCCTCCCTAGTCATTAAGAATTTGACTTTCCTTAGCCACAAATGTCTGAATCACTCTGGTGACTCAAAGTGGAGCCTATCCCATCTCAGAGAAAGCTCTGACTGAGTCAGGCTGGGATTAGGATGCATCCTTTACTCCTACCAGTGCTCTTCTACTGAGGCACAGCTGCTACCATTCCCTCTCCAGACACCCCACGCATACACAAGCTCCTAGTGGGTTTTCTGCTCCTTGGGGAATTGGTCTTTTTTCTTTCTTTCCTCGTGGTATCTGACTGTGCTTCCTGTCAGCTGGGTTACCCATTATAAATCCCTACTGAGTAGACTTACGTGAATAATGGATTTTGTGGCTGAGCGGACAAACTAAAAAGCCGGAGATTAAAAAAAAAATCCTTTTTAGGTCAATCCAAAGTGATAACATTTTGGGGAGCTGGCACAAGATTTAAAAAAAACAATTGTTCAAGGTTGACCAAAACATCACAAACAAAAGTGAAATAAATTAGCGTTTAAATTTGGGGCTGTTTAACCCTTTTCTGAAAGATGTTTTATTTACAAGGTAGATGTGTTGATTTAATTTTGAAACGTTTCCTTTAGAAAGTATTTGTAAAAGAAACATTTAGACAGTTACAGAAGTGTTTTCCCTTTTGTTTTTGAATAAGACTATTTACCAAATGTATCTAACGAAAATCTGCAAGTCATCATCTGAAAACTGCACTTTTCAGCAAACATTCTTTCCTAAAAAAGTTTCCATCTAAATCTTCATGTTTCCTTTAGAGCATTTCTCTTTCATAAATCAGTACTGATAGCCAGAAAGACACCAGCCAAATAGCTTCTACAAGAATGAGATTCATCAGTTACTGTGAATGGTTGAATAATACCATGTATTTTCAAAGTCCTATTAATCCTGACTGTCTCTAGTTTATAAATCCCATTCTATACCCTCAGGATCCCTATATAGGTCCATTTTTTGGACCTGCTCAGAATTTTGACTGAAGTTTTGACTATACATCACCTTGAAACCCAAACCAATGTAACTTTTCAGCATCGAAACAGCAAGATATCTAACACTACTGCACATCTGTCAGGCAGCACAGGGAGCCAATTCCCACCTCATGTTCCCCAGCTCAGCTGTAGTCTCTAACAGCTACCTGACTTCTCATTGCTGCTTGTCTGGTCCCATCTGACTTTGCCCTACAGCAAGCCCCCTTGAACAAGTGTTCCTGCCTCTACCCACACAGGGCAACATGAACTCTTTGGAGAACATCTTCGTTGGGATCTCAGTGCCTCCTGTGCCACAGTAGTGCTGCTTGGAAGTGCTTGATTCAGGACAGAGGCAATGCAACACCTGAAGCTAAGATTGTTTGCTGCTTCCCGTTTAATTCTGACATGATTTTGCAAAATTTCTGTGCAACATCTGACTTTTTGGCAATGTCTGTCCCCTCCAACTCCCAACAAATGGAAAAGAGTAGGATGACAGAAATTCTTAACAAAGGACGGATGTTTCTAACACTGAGGAAACAATCCTTCCCATCCCCCCACCCCGGTTGTTTTAAGAAGCTGGTGAATGCTTCTAGCTGAAAATTCACACCTCTGGCACATCGGATTTCAGCCTGAACGACCAGATGTAAAATTGTTGGTGTCATAAACAACTGAAGGTGGGTTTACAGTGGTAAGAAGCAACCTTAACAACATGCATAGCTTGCTGTACCACCTTTTAATAAAACATTATCTGCCATCAAAATTAGCCAGCTCTCTGAAAAATTCAGGCTTTGTGGTCTTTTTTCTGTGTTTCCCTGCAGTCTGTTCGTAGGCTCCAACTGTATCCATGTATAATCTATGTCTGTTTTTCAGAAGCAAATTACTACTCTTTGAATTATAATACTTTTTAAAAAGGTTGGAGATTTCTGCATGGCCAGCTGCCAGTTTCCTCTGTCATTTGTATTTATGACATGATCACAATGGACCTGATATGCCACAGCTGGCATAAGTTCTGCCATCATCTGACAAACTGTGTGGAGAATGCTACAGATGCAGAAAAGTTGGTTCTTTACACATGGGCTGAGCAATCAGTTTGTGCAGGTGTCAGGGAGTGTTGAACAGACAGGAAGGAGGAAACTGCATCATTGTGATTATGATCCCAAGCCCCAGGTAAGCCAGAAGACTCTCAGTGACAGACAGTAATGAGGAAAAGAAAGAGAATTAGTAGTTCTGGGAGGAAGTGCACAGTGGGGAAAAAGAGTAACAGCAGGGAAGCAATGCAGTGAAAAAATGAGCAAGAGGAGGGAAGGAAACAACAGAGAAACTGGGAGAAATAAATATCAGATGGGGGAAAGAAACAAGGACAGGGAAAG